TAAAGTTGAAAATTGGTACATCGTTTTTTTTTAAAAAAATACCTTCAAAATGGCGTATTTACTATTATAATACCAAAGTGGGGCCGATTCTCTATGGCAATGCGCCCATACCCTTTGGATTCGATCAAATAACTCGAATAACTTATTCCCAGTTATAACAGACAATAATTTAAATGAGAAGATTCGGTTGATAAGAAGATTTGAACACACCAGTAAAAATGTCATTGCACAAAAATACAAGTTGTCTGGAATCAAGTATTTTGAAAATCGATTATAAAGCACGCATATGTATAACCAGCCATCAACTTAATTCTTATGACTTTGCAATTGGGAGATAATCTTTGAAAATCCATAACAAAAGTATTTTCTTTAGTTGTTAGTTTTTTTTTGGGTTGTGAGCACTGTGATTTACGAGTCTTTAATATAAATATTAGCTATATGTTATTTAAATGTTTTATAAAATATAATGTTAATTTTAAGTGAGATTCAATAGTTTTTGTTTTCATATAACCACTTTAAAAGCTCACATCTGGGTGGGGTAAGCTTTCAAAGTGGTTAAAAGACAACTGAACATCAATCATGGTTAAGGTGTAAAAAATAAAATAAAGCAAATAAAAAAGAAAATTAAGTTAGATAGAGCTATTTTACAAATTTTATATTATATAAATTGTTATTTCAACTCCACTGATCATATTTCTGAAAAAATACCAGATCAAGATTATTTACATGTTATCTCTGTGAAAAATGCACCAATGGAATTTAAATTTTGCTTTAGTGAATAATGTAATTATTTTGTAAAATACCTTTAAAATTAAAATAAAACATTGAACATGTTTGCCACCTGGCCGTTCCAAGTTACCCCGCTATAGAGTAAAACGGATTGAATATCAAATTTTTGAAAAACAGGAAAAAGCACATTTCTACGATTATGAAGTAGTTGGCAGTTTTACTGAACATAGTCAGATAATTGTTCGTTTGATACGTGATAATTATTGTGATATAATTGGTTTGGTTTTCACAATATAATTAATATTTGAAAGTCAAATTGCATCTTCATTTTCTATCTCTCCTCGCAGAAACTTGAAAGTTTTGTATAAGCTCAGTACTATTGTTAACAATTGTACACAATATCCATAATTCAAGAAGAATATGAAAATCTTGAAATGTCATCAGTATTTGCTTAATTGGAGTTTGTAATGAATATAGACCAAAAAGACATGGGTTGGAGTATACCATGTTTTCCATAGAGAGTCTTCCAGTTTGATTGTATTAACAAAATATGAACAAACGAATATTGTTTATATAAATTATATGATATTAAACAAGTAGACTTTGAGGTTTATTGTTTTTATTATATCTTATTGTATATTGCATTCAAACAACACATCCTTACACTTAAAATAAAGTATCAAATATTTTGATTCTCTAGAAATGGTTCAGAAATACCTTACTTAGCAAAACGACGTTTGTCGGGTCAGCTAGTCGTCTTATACATAAAAATGAAGTTCGGTATTATGTTAGGTATGGTAAAACGTTAAAATGGCTATACGGATTTGGCCAGTCTTAAACCTGAATAATTCCTTTTAATTCAGAGATTGTGCGAAAGGTGAGGTATTACTTTAAAACCGCACAGAATATTTAATTTTTTTTGTGTTGTTTGTTTTTTGGGTTGTGTGCACTGTGGTTTAGAATACGAGACCTTAATATCAATTTTAACTATATGTTATTTAATTGTTTTATAAAATGTAATGCTAATTTTAATTGAGTTTAATTTGAGTTACACCTGGTTGGGGTAAAAAGGAACGACTTAACATTAACCCCGACAAAGAAGTAAAAAATAAAAAATAGCAAATAAAAAAGTAAAATACAGCAATTTTACACAAGATAAATTACAGAGTGGCTGATATGTATTGCAACCAAATTCAGACCGCTATCATTTCAAAACCGCTCATCAGACAGATGACAGATTTATTCCAGTGATTGTTCATTTAGTTGTTTACAAGCGTACAAAAGCATTTTGATCTATTGCATTCAGAAAAAAAAACTATTCGTGATGGAAGTCAAACGTGATATTGTGATTGCTTTATATTTGGCTAGCAAACCACAAGTAGCTATCGTTAGAGCCGCCCAGCATTTAAATGCGAAAAAATATTTTATTTCTCGTACCATATCTTGCGATCATGATACTTTCAGTATTGCACAAAAAAATGGCTCGTGAGCTTAATATATCGCAAAAACGGATACAACACATATTGAAAAATGAGCTTGGACTATGGCCATTGAAGTTCTAAAAAGTTCAAGAGCTCATCGATGCACAGAAAAAAGTTAGACGGGAAAGAGCCAAGTGGTTCCTTCGCTTGCACGAAAGTGGCTAAGTCACCGAATTTGGTTTTCTCAGATGGGAAGTCATTCAAAATCTAGCAGAAAAGTTAGTGAACAAACAAAATGATAGGGTTTACTTGCCAAAAAGGTCCGCTAAAAATTTGTACCTTAGATTGACCACCAGAACTAAAGCGCCGCCGACGGTAATGGTGTGAACCACCGTAACGGCCGATAGTGACAACATTCCGCTCGTATTCATCGACCGTGGGATCAAAATAATTGCCAAAATTATAGGGAAAATGTCTTACAGGCAGTATTGAAGCCCTGGGTAGACAAAAATTCTAGCCGCAGACCATGGACATTCCAACAGGACTCAGCACCATCAAACTCAGCACGCGTCAACCAAAAATGGCTTAAAAAAGAGGTTTCTCGCTTCATTTCCATAGCACAATAGCCACCAAAATCTGTGGATCTAAATTCGTTGGACTTTTGTGCCTTGGACATTTTGGAGAGTAAGGTTTGCCCTAAAAAAATACCAAAGTGTCGGTCATCCCAAGAAAGCGCCTCGCCGGCAAATACCCTGGAGCCACTTTCGTGCAGCGTATTATGATTTTTTCTGCCTTTTGAAAACCATAATTCGTGCCAAAGGTGGCCAATTAGAACAAATCTAAACTGCTTCTAAAATTTGATGTTATTTCTGACATTTTTGCTTTTGAACAATGAAATTTAAGATGAAAATAACAAAAACCCACCCTGCATATAAATAGCTATTACAACTCCTCTGATAAATTGCTGATAAACCAGATTAAGGTTATTTAGAGTGTTATTGGTGTAAACAATGATCCATGGAACTTATATTTTGCATTAGATGAATAATGCAAAATATAATTTTGTAAAATACCTTCAAAATTAAAATAAGATATTGAATCCGTTTGTCATTTGGGCGTCCCAAGTTACCCCCTACCTATGAGGTAACTTGGGACGCCCAAGAAAAACAGTTACCAGTGGGATGGGTGGCATCGTGCCTTAAGGCAAATTGCTGGAACTTCCCGTACCGTAACAAAATGTTCGAGGAATACTGAATGTTTTCAAATAGATTATTATAAATATTGTAACATTGTGTAATATTTATAAGAATTATATAAACTGAATTGCAAAGTTGAAATTATTTGTAAAGTATATTAGAACTAAAGTCAGAATTAAAAATTAAATCTGAATTATTTTCGATATACAAAAAATTAAAAAAATAAAAAAAAGTTGAAACATTTTTTTTTTTCCAAAATCAATTATTTTGTTAAGACAAGCAGAAAGTTCTTTGAATGAATTAAATCGGACGCTTAGTTCTCTCAAAAACTGCCATTTTTTGAACATTTAGCTCCGTATCTTCGAAATGGCTGGGCCTGCCTTTGCGAAAAACTAATAACCACTTCTTCCAATCATTACTAATTGAATGTTTTTTAGATCATTCAAATCGGATGCTCCGTTCTCTCAAAAACTCGATTTCTATTTTCTGCACTCTTTGCTCTTTATCTCCGTAACTGCTGGCCCTTGCCAAAAGCTAATCAGCACATCCTTATCAATAGGAATCGAATGTTTTTTAAACCATTCAAATCGGTTGATCCGTACGCCCGAAAACGTGGACGAAAAATTGTATCCATACATACATACACACACAAATCCATTTTTCCTGAGGTATGCCAAAATGTTCAGAAACCTTCAAAACGTCGAGAAATGTAAAAATTTTCAATTCCGATTTTCGGCCCATTACAATAACTTACCCTACGGGAAGTTAAAAAACATTTCTATTATTATGAAATAGCTGGCAGTTTTATTGAACATAATCAGATAATAGATCGTTTAATTGTGTGTTATTTGTTGTGATATAATTCGTGTAGTTTTCTCAATTTTGAAGTAAAACTTCTTTAGGCGCGAGTAGAGAGTAAATCAGTGAAAATCCAACGGACGTCTGATACGCCGCAAACTGATCGATTGTTATTGGTCGTCGTGTCACATGCATAGAGAATTTTGGTTGTATGCGTTCGTCACTGAAAAGCACAGTTGTTTGGAATGTCATAAGATTTTAAGGTTAGACCGTAGTACAAATTTTGATTTAATAAAAAATTCCTGAATCAGAGGAATATTCTACCCTGTTCCCCGTAAATAATTACAATAAAAATAATAAAATAAACAAATTTGTGCCGTTTAATGAACTTAAATGTAAAATGTATTATTTGTGGTTACTACATATCTTTGAGGTTAATAAAATCGAAAATATTTTTGTAGGCAAGACAGATACTGTAGCTTTAATTTTAATTACATAAAGTTCTTCAAACACGATTACGTGATAAGTGAAATTGTGTAAACAATATTTCTTTGGGTGTTATTTAACATAATAATTCTCTGTACTTTATTGTTTTATCTAACACCCCCAAGATATATCTTTTTCAACAGTATATCTCAGTCACTTTTGAAAATTTAGAGAAAGTCTACATATTTTCCATGTAAAGCAAAGTAATTGAAAATATTGATACAAATTGCATTGTCAAAAAAAAAAACAACTGGAAAACCAATCAGATAAAATATAACACGTGTCTAAATTCATATTAAGTTTTGCAATAGGAACCAAAACCAAATCTTTCATGGAACGACTAAATAATTGATCATAAGCATACTCTCACCTCCGGCTCTTTCTTCATCCGATGCTGAATGTACCTTTCCAGAACCAATCAATTGTGCCCGAGCATGATAACAACTATTAGTGCTTAATTTGCTTGGCTGCTTACCAGCGAAGTCAGATCTTTAATAAATGTAAATTGAAAATATTTACATGATTTTTTATTTATTTCACTGTACTAATTATGCCATACCTATTTCTGATTTTAATTTCAATTGGTGGCCCGTTGCCTCCAGAGTAGCGTCTAGGCCGTACTCCAAAAGTAGTTCTGACTGAAGTCTGTGCTGCCGTATCTGTTGTCGCACCTTCGCTATCAGAAATTGAACGATGTCTCCTTTTTGCTGGATATCTTTTCAAAGCCCCCACGCCTTGCAACATTTCATTTAAAACAGGCTAAAATATAAACATATAATATTACACTACGCATTCTAAGACACCCAAGCACATGTGTTTAATTAGTTTACCTCCATTACTCTGAAGTCATCAATCGTCTTAAACTGTGTCAAATATTCCTTGAGTTTCGGTTCAACATGAAGTTTTTCACTGTGCTTATAGTACTTTAAAAAAGCCCAAAACTTTTCAAGTCCATACAATTGCCCTGAAAATACATCATTATTAGAAGACTTTCATAAAATGAGTTAAATTCCTCAAAGAAAGTGTACTAATATTAAGTCCTCTTCCCCGCACAATTTTAATACTGACAAAAGATGTAATCAATCTTTTAGATTATTTATATTTAATTATGTTATAAAATAAAATAACCATGCTTATTGCTTATTAATCTATGCTAATCTTATGACTGTTTTTTTTTTTTTTTTTTGATTGCTATTTTACTTTCTCAGGGCTTAGTCAAAGTTACGTGTCATCTCATTTTCAATGTTGAAGCACTTCATCAAAATATATTAGCTTCCTTTATAACCTCCGTCGAGTAAGTTATCTCAAAAATAAACAATTTTTTTTACATCTTTACGTTTTAAGGGGTAAGGCGTACTTGGAATTTTTTAAAAATCGATTTTTATTTTTTTTGCATTTTCATTAAGTGTAATATGTTGAAAATATTGTCTGATAATTTCAAGTTGATCCGATGATTACTTTTTATCTTCCCGGAGAAGTTTATGTTTTCATAGAAAAATCCGATTCGCTAATTTTATGTTTTCTCGAGGTTTCAAACCATTCTGAATCGAATGAGACCAAATTTCGAAAAAAGTATGTGTGTGCGTATGTGTAAACAACTTTTTTGCCGTAAATCGACGTTTTCTCAAAAGCGGCTGGACCGATTCCAAAAATTTAAAAGCCATTCGATGTATCTCGATGAGGACTATTGTTTGTCACTCTTGTGCGACGATCGGCCAAGCTCTTTCTTTATAAATTGCAAAAAAGTGAAAAATTTTTCGTCTACGTTTTAGCCCGCAATTCTGAATCGAATTTTAAAATTCAAAAACCGTTCGAAAGATATTGGTTGAGAATCGTGCTAATTAGTTTTTGGTAGAGATCGGCCGGGCCGTTTTCATGTAATAAGGTGTTAAAAAAAAATTTTGTCGATTTTTATTATTATTTTTTTGACGGTAGATACCATAGTCTTCTAGATCATACTAAAATATTACGGCCCTACGACAACTCGTTTAGCTTTAAAAATTCGTCAAAGTTTGCAAAAATTACTATGGTCTTTTGGGCATTTGTCAAAATTATAACTTGCATCGACGTTTGCTCAAAAACTTCTGAACCGATGTCAGAAATTTAAAAACCATTTGATGTATCACGATGAGGATTATCGTTTTTCAGTTTTGTGCGACCATCGGCTGAGTCGTTTCTTTGTAATTTGGAAAAAAGTGTTAAACTTTTCGACATATTTCAGCTCATACTACCGAATCGATTTAAAAAAATCAAAAACTGTTCGAAAGATATTAGTTGGGAATGATACTGATTAGTTTTAGGTTGAACTAACTGTTGAAAAATAAATTTAAGCCAATTTTATGGAACTTTTTTGGACGATATATATCATGGCCTTATAGAACTTACTGAAATATTACGGCCTTACGACAAGTAGTTTAATTATAAAAATTCATCAAGTTTTGAGAAAATCAGTAGTTTTGACATTTGTTAAAATTAAAATTAGACGATTTACTTGGTATAACGGTAGAATACTTGGTCTTAATGAACATACTAAACAATGAAAGTCCTACAAAAAACTGGCTCAATTATAAAAATTATTGATTGTTGAAAATTTGCTTTTAACTAGTTGGTGGTATTGGTATTTTGCTTTGAGGCAAGTTACATGAACTTCCCGAAATGTGTAATGTGTAATTAATGGACCTAATCAATAAAAAAATAATTAATTTATGAGTGATTAAAAGTATTCCGAGTGGATTTATTACACATAATTGAAATTTTCTCATTTTCTCAAAATTTGATGAATTTTTAAAATTAAACTACTTGTTGTAGGGGCGTAAAATTTCAGTAAGTTCGATAAGACCATATATATCGCCAAAAAAATTCCATGAAAATCGGCTTAAATTTTTTTCAACAGGTAATTACAAGAAAACGGCTCAGTAGATTTTCACCTATAACTAATCAGTATCATTCCCAACTAATATCTTTCGAACAGTTTTTGATTTTTAACTTCCCGAAAGAGAAGTTTATGTTTTCTTTAAAAAATCCGATTCGCTAATTTTATGTTTTCTCGACGTTTCAAGCCATTCTGAATCGAATGAGACCAAATTTGGAAAAAGTATGTGTGTGTGTGTATGTGAACAGATTTTTTGCCGTAAATCGACGATTTCTCAAAAACGGCTAGACCGATTTCAAAAATTTAAAAGCCATTCGATGTATCTCGATGAGGACCATCGTTTCGCAGTTTTGTGCGACGATCTGCAAAGCCGTTTCTTTGTAAATCGCAGAGAAGTGAAATTTTTTTCGTCCACGTTTTAGCCCGCAAGTCTGAATCGATTATGAAATTATGAATTGATTAGTTTTTGGTAGAGATCTGCCGGGGCGTTTTCTTGTAATGAAGTTTTAACAAAAATGTCAAAAAACGATACCAATTTTTGCCAACTTTGACGAATTTTTAAAGTTGAACGAGTTGTCGTAGGGCCGTAATATTTTAGTATGATCTAGAAGACTATGGTATCTACCGTCGAAAAAATAATAATATAAATCGGCGAAAAAGAATTTTTTAACACTTTTTACAAGAAAACGCCCAGCCGATCCCTACCAAAAACTAATCTGCACGATTCCCAACCAATATCTTTCGAACGGTTTTTGAATTTTCATAACCGATTCAGAAAATTGCGGGCTAAAACGTGAACGAAAAATTTTTCACTTTTCTGCGATTTACAAAGTAACGGGTCGGCCGATCGAAGTGCAAAACTGACAAACGATAGCCCTCGTCGGGATACATCGAATGGCTTTTAAATTTTTGAAATCGGTCTAGCGCAGTGTTTCCCAACGTGGGGCGCACGCCCCACCGGGGGGCAATTTGAAAATTTTGGTGATTTTAATGTAATGTAGTATAGTATCGGTAAAACATTTAACAAAAAAAAATGCTTCTTAGATTTAGAATAATAAGGTGTCCCAGTTTGGCCGCGACGGTTTTAGTTTTCAGCCTTGCATTCCTAGTGCCGGAGTTATGTTTTTTCTGCCGGGTTGACTTGACTTTTTCTCATTACTATATAATAAAATTACAACTACCCATTATAATCTGAAAATGATATATGCAATAAACTTTATATAACAACAACATTATGAAAGAGAATATTGCGGGATGCAACAATTCTTTGGGTTCCAGTAGCCCTTCACTAATTATTTTAAACTTCTATATTCCAATTACGAAAATTACCAAAAAAATAGGTAAATCAAGTTTCTGACTGCTTGGCATAAATGCTTTAAGGTCAGTGACAAGACTCGACTTGAAATATGCACAAGAAAAGTGATATTTAATACTAAAGTTAATTTCGAAGCTTTATGAGAACAGAGTTTTATACATGGCTTTAAAAGCAGAAAAATTGTAAATATGATGTGAGTTTTTTACTCACTGTCAGTAACTATGGCTAAAGATGGAACTAATTTAAAATAAACTAATTTGTATTGTATCCTTAAAAAGTACAAGGTTGACACTAAGCGCGGCTTTTACTCTTATTGTTAGATTGCTTCAAATGATTCTTTAGGTTTGTCGAGGTTGAGGTAGTAATGTATAGTGAGAAATTTAGCTTTAACTTTTTGATCGGTTATGTAGAGTGTTTGTTGAAAGATGGAATATCAAAACAAACATTTTAGTCAAATTTTGAATTTTTATTTCTGCAAATGGTAAAACGATCATCCCAAAGAATAGGTGCTGTTTATGGTGTCGAAGCCTTAAAAAACAGCTATGTTAAAATTGGTTTTGAAAATGTCATTCTGGTAATTTTCCACTCAATGCTGCTCTGATCGTCCAGTTAAAGTTATGGACAAACTAATTAAAGCAATCATCGATTGGGCTAATAGAGACAATTTGGCTATGTTTAAAAATTATTGGGGGTTGGTGAAAATTGTTCTCAACATCCACCAAATGTTAAGAAATGGTTTTATGAAGAAACTGAAACCAAATGTCCAAATTTAATCATATGTACAGAAATTTGCTATAATTTATTGAAAAACAGAAAAAGCTCAGATTAGAACCTAATATAAAATCTTTGTTTTAGCTTAAGTATTGCATTAAATAAATTTCGAAAAAAAACAGTAATAAAATTAGTTTGAAATTTCCGTATGTTGGCTTATTCCGAAATTTTACTTATGATGTTTAATAACAATTTAATAGCGATTTCATCTTAAAAGTTATTCACATTTTTCCTGGGAGAAAAAAAAATTGTATGGGGGGGGGCATAACGTTTTTATAAACTTCAAGGAGGGGCGGGGCCCAAAAAAGGTTGGGAATCACTGGTCTAGCGGTTCTTGAGAAACAGTCGATTTACGGCAAAAAATCTGTTCACATACACATACACATGCACACACACACACACATACATACATTTTCCAAATTTGGTCTCATTCGATTCAGAATAGCTTGAAACGTCGAGAAAACATAAAATTAGCGAATCGGATTTTTTATGAAAACAAACTTCTTGGGGAAGTTAAAAACTAAAATTTATTATTGGATTTACTATTCAGAATAGAAACAATCAATCTATATATAATTATATATATATATATATATATACAGGGCCGGTCCTGCCTTGCATGCAAAAAATGCGGGCGCAAGCCTTAGGGGGCGCTAAAACGAGTTGCGGAAATTACATTTATAATATAATATTTATATTTTTTATATAAAATATAGAATTATTTATTTAAAATCTAGAATACATAATGAATTATAATAAATAATTTAATTTAACTAGGGATACGGAGACACAAAAAGTATATTTATTTTGCAATGTGATATCAGTAGAAACAATTAAACGATTAATAATTCTGCAAATTAGTAAATAACAGCTCTGTTTATTGCTTAATCTACTTTTTCAATTTTTTTTTTTGTTTGAAGTTACCGTAGAATCAAAAAAGAAATTATCTAGTGTTCAATCCAATTATTGACGAAAAACTGCGAGCTGATTTAGTTGAATCGGAACT